TGTCGAACTCAATCAGAGAAGGGGCCAAAATCTAAAACCCAGCCTAAATCGCGGGCCGAATGGTTTACTGAACAGTCATAAACTGTCATTGTGATGGAAACGCAGCGGAGTGCAGTGATGACAGCGCGGTGCAGGCCACATTGCAAGGCCTGGCTGGACGGATTTGGCCCTCGGGCCTTGTGTTTGACACATGTGCCTTAGGGTAAGGTGACCAGACGTCCGACTTTTGGCGGGACAGTCCCGATTTCCAACAATCTGTCCCACATCCAGCGGCGTTTTAAAAAAACCCTGATTTTTTCAAAAAATCGGGACATTTTTATTTTATTTTTTAATTTAAAAAAAAATACTTTATTGATTTTTTACAGAGAGGAAGGGAGAGAGATAGAGAGCTAGAAACATTGATGAGAGAGAAACATCGACCAGCTGCCTCTTGCACACCTCTTACCGGGGATGTGCCCGCAACCAATGTACATGCCCTTGACCGGAATCGAACCTGGGACCTTTCAGTCCGCAGACCAACGCTCTACTGCTGAGCCAAACCGGTTTCGGCAAAAAAATCGGGACTTTTTTAAAACGGTGCGGGACAAATTGTTAGAAATGGGGACGTCTGGTCACCCTACCTTAGGGCCTACAAAGGTCATCTATGGAGCTTTAGGGCCCACAGGAGGGCTCCCTGATCCAGGCTGTACCTAAGGAGATACGTGCTCACCTGTGCAGGGTGCGCTGTGCTGTGCTGTGCGGGTTAAGACCATTCAAGGCCTCCGATCCATGGATGACTTGTTTGTTTTTGAGATGCTAGAGCTGACACGATATTGTGTAAGTTTAAGACAGAAAGTATATGTATCCGATAGGTTTGTGTTGCACAGTGGTGGCCGTCTGGCATCAGCGGACCCCTCCATGGTGTCCTCTGTGGTGGGAACAAGGACCACGTGTGATGATGTCATTTTCTGTAGCCTCTGTCCTGGGTGCTGTCTCACTCATCTCAGCATAATGTCCTTAAGGTCCACCCGTGTTTCACATGTGACAGGATTTCCTCCTGTCTGCTGGTTGAATGATACTCCAGTGTGTGTGTGTGTGTGTGTGTGTGTGTGTGTGTATCACACCTTCTTTTATCCATTCATCCATTGCTGGCCCCTAGGCTGTCCGCACTTCTTGGCTGTTGTGGGCAATGCTGTAATAAACACGCGGGTGCATATGTCTCCTCAGTAGCATGTTTTCTTTTCCTTTGGCTCAATACCCAGAAGTGGAATTGCTGGATCATAAGACTTATTTTTAATTTTTTTACATATACTTTTTATTGACTTCATAGAGGAAGGAGGAGGGAGGGAGTGAGAGAGAAACATGAATGATGAGAGAGAATCATGGATCAGCTGCCTCCTGCATGCCCCAAACGGGATGAGCCCACAGCCTGGGCATGTGCCCTTGACCAGAATGAACCTAGGATCCTCAGGCACTCTACCCACTGAACTACACCAGCCAGGGCTTATCTAACTTCTTGATGGCATCCATTCTTAAAGGTGTGAGGTGATATCATGGGGGAGGGGGGATTAGTTTGTTTAACTGATTTTTAGGGAGAGGGATAGAGGGATACAAACACAGATGAGAGAGGAACTTCCATCAACTGGCTGCCTCCTGCATGGCCTCCCCTGGGGACCCAGGGGCAACTGGGACATGTGCCGTGACCTCCTGGTTCATAGATCCAGTCTTAACCACTGAGCAACACTAACACTAGCCAGGCCCTTGCTCAATTTAAATCTCAGTTCCCTCCCCCTAAATACGTACATAAGTCTCCAGTGCCCAAAGGTGAGAGAGGCTCGAAGCACCTTCCAGGATTAAGGAATGGATCACCTGCAGGAAGACTGGCACGGTCTCTCTCCCCGCCCACCACGGAAATAGGGCGCGTCCCCTTTAAGACGACTCTATTCCCCACTGAAGTCCTTGGCGCCGCCCTCACCAGAACCTCAGGTGCCAGCGCAACGAACTGCGTTACCCAGAAGCCTGTGCCCTGCGCATGCGCGTTGTGTCACGGCCACTCCGAAGATGGCGTTTCCTGGCGCCCAGTCAGGCCGGGCAGAGGCGGGACTTCCGGCGCCGGCGCCATGACGTACTCATCCCGCGCCGGGACTGTCAGTCCACTCGGGCGGGCAGTTGAGGCTCGGAGTTCGGGGACCGGAGCCACAGGGACGGTTCCGGGGGAAGGACGGCCCCGCGCGTGCGGGGCGCGCCATGGTCCCCTCAGGGCGGCGGGCGGCCCTGCGCCCAGGTGCCCGCGGGGGCCGCGCTCTGCCCGCGCCCCGTCCGGCCCGGGCCCCGGCGGCGCTTCCCTGAGGAGCCGGAGCGCGAGGGCCCGGCTCCCGCGCGACCTCAGCCCCTGGCCCCGGCCGCGGGCGGCTGTGCGGCTGCGGGTCCCCATGGCGGCCGCCGCGCCCACGGACCCGGCCGCGGTGAGTGGCGGGAGGCGCTCCCTCCTCCGGCGGCCCCTCCGCCGACCCAGGCGAGGCTCCGCGCCCGGCGTCCGCGGCGGGAGGTGTGCACGGGCCCCGGGCCCCGGCACTGTCCCCTCCACCCTCCACCCCCCCGGAGGCGGGAGAGCTGCGGGAGGAGCCCCTGGTCTCCGCTGCGTCCGGTGAGGCCAGGGAGGCAGCGGAGGAGGGAGCCGGCTCCCGTCACGTCCAGGGCACCTCTCGGGGCCTCTGCTGGCGGCGGTGGGAGGGGTGGGCCAGAGGAGGGAGGGGACCCGCCTTGGGTGTCAGCGGGCTCCCTCTGACTGCAGAGAGGAGAGTTGGGGGCGGGGGCGGGGGCAGGGAGGCCTAGGGAGGCTGCTGCACCTGCCCCAGGGTGGGGATGGGACGGGGCACCAGAGTGGTTGGTGGCCGTGAGGGTTAGAGAAGCCTGTGGGCTTTGTATGTGGTGGTGGTGGTTTTTGTTGTTTTTAACCCACCCCACTGATTTTTTTAAAGCACACACACTCACACACACACACACAGCTGGGGGCTGTGGAGGACAGGGACTGGGGGTGCCCATGTGAGCAGGGAGGGCTGGGAGGGAGGCCGGGGAGCTGGGAGGGAGGCGGGGATGAGGGGGGGCAGGGAGGGCTGAGGGGTTCCCTGCTGCCTGAGGGCTGACCTGTCCCCTCCCGCAGGCCCGGGTGACCTTCGAGGACGTGTTCGTGTACTTCCCCCGGGAGGAGTGGGGGCTCCTGGACGAGGCCCAGCGGCGCCTGTACCGCGACGTGATGCTGGAGAACTTCGTCCTCGTGTCCTCGCTGGGTGAGTCCCCCTCCGGCACCTCAGTCGTTTGCGTGGCAATCACCCCACGTTTGGCGGCTCACCCCGGTGAACAGTCACTGTCTGTCGGTGCAGGGAGCCCGGTCCCAGCTCCCCCAGCTCCTGGCTCAGGCCGTCCCTGTCCAGAAGGTTCAGCCACGCTGTCCCCTGAGCCGCGTGCCCCTCCCAGGCCCGTCCGGGGAGAATCCGCTTACTCACTCACGCATCTGTGTCCACAAGGTCCGTCCCCCACGCTTGTTGCCGGAGCAGAACTCCCCTGGCCGCGGGCCGAAGCCTCAGGGCCACCGGCCGGCCTTCCCGCCGCCCTCAGCATGGGAGCACCTGCTCTGAGCAGAGGGGACGCCCAGGGCGGACGCCGTTTTCTGACCTGAAAGCGACCTCCCTTCATTTTGCCTTATCCTGATCCTTCAAATGGGTCGGTCAGTCCGTCCACAGGGAAGCTTATCTCAGGGTGAGAGCATCAGGGGAGCATCCCGGAGTCTTCCCGGCGGCCTCCGCCTGCCCACACCCCCTCCGCCCTGGTGCATGGTCCCTGCTCCCAGGGGCAGCGTTCTGTCCAGTCGGGGCCGTGACATGAACCCTCTCCTTCCCTCCCTTAGCTCGGGGGTCAGGGCTGGGTCGTGTGCAGGACCCCTTCCTCGCTGGGGAGCCCCCACCTGCTGCCCAAAGCCGGAAGGGACAGGCTGGAGACGTGGGGCTCTCTCAGGTGGCTTTGGATTCTGCCCGGCGGTGCCTCTGTGTCCCGGGTTTGCCCTCGTTCTTGGCTGACGTACCCAGGGCCCTCGGCCAGAGCCTACAGGTGTTGCCGTGGTCACTTCTTGCCTCGGTCACTGGCTGTTCTGCCAGACACCTGAGGTCCATTCTGTGATGCTTAGAGGGCCTAGGCTGTCAGGGGGCCCTCCCTCGCCCCTCCTGGCTCCAGCGGGCCACCCCCAGCTGTGTGACACGCACGGGGGCCAGGGCTGCTCTTCCCGCCGTCCTCGCACCCGGCACAGCGTTTCTTCGCTTCCAGGTTGCTGGCCAGACGCCGACCACGCGGCAGCCCCTCCCGAGCAGAGCGCCCCTGCGGAGGCGTCGTGGGACGGGACGCCCGAGCCGGGTCCGTCTGTCCCGAGAGCCCAACCGTGGGAGGTGTGTGACCCGCTCCTCAGGGCCGCCGTGCCCCTGGGCGGCGTCCAGGGACCGCACCCCACGCAGGAGCCGTGCGCACGCGGCCCGGGTGCGAGAGGCCCCCCGGGCCGTGCAGACTCGGACCCGCAGGAGGAGGAGCGCGGCGCAGCGAGCCCCCGCAGCGGGGGCGGCGGTGGGGCCGCCCGCACGTCAGGGGGGCCCGTCCCTTGCGAGGAGGAGGGGACGGGCTTGCTGGGCAGCTCTGGCCTCCTCCGGCCCCGGACCCCTCACTGCGGGCTGAGCCCTCGCCAGGGGGCCGGGCTGGGCGAGCAGGGGCCTCCCGCCGAGGGGAGGCCCGTCGGAGTCCTGCCCCGAGGCAGCGTGTCCCAGGAGACGGGGGCTCCGGTTCACCACCGGAGGCTTCACGGCAGGGAGGCCGCACACGTGTGTGAGGAGTGCGGGAAGGCCTTCGCCCACCCGTCCCACCTCCGGGAGCACCGGAAGCTGCACCCGGGGAGGAGGCATTACACGTGCGGCGACTGCGGCAAGGCCTTCGGCCGCAAAGACACGCTGGCCCAGCACCGGCGGGTGCACACCGGGGAGCGGTCCTACGACTGCGGCGAGTGCGGCAAGGCCTACAGCCGGAGCTCCCACCTGGCGCAGCACCGGCGGGTGCACACCGGGGAGCGGCCCTACGCCTGCGGGGAGTGCGGCAAGGCCTTCAGCCGCAAGGACACGCTGGCCCAGCACCGGCGCTTCCACACGGGCGAGCGGCCCTACGCCTGCAGCCAGTGCGGGAAGCTCTTCAGCCAGAGCTCCCACCTGATGGAGCACTGGAGGATCCACACCGGGGCCCGGCCCTACGAGTGCGCCGAGTGCGGCAAGTTCTTCAGCCACAACTCCAGCCTCGTCAAGCACCGCAGGGTCCACACGGGCACCCGGGCCCACGTGTGCCCCAAGTGCGGGAAGGCGTTCGGCTGCAAGGACACGCTGGTGCAGCACCAGGTCACCCACACCGGGGCCCGGCCGCACGCCTGCGGCGCCTGCGGGAAGGCCTTCAGCCGCAAGGACACGCTGGTGCAGCACCAGAAGACCCACACGGGGGAGCGGCCGCACGCCTGCGGCGCCTGCGGGAAGCGCTTCAGCCACAACTCCAACCTGATCGTGCACCAGCGGGTCCACACGGGGGCCAAGCCCTACGCGTGCGGCGAGTGCGGGAAGCGCTTCAGCCACAACTCCAGCCTCGTCCTGCACCAGCGCGTGCACTCGGGCGCCAGGCCCTACGCGTGCGGCGAGTGCGGGAAGGCCTACATCAGCTCCTCCCACCTCGTCCAGCACAGGAAGGTGCACACGGGCGCCAGGCCCTACGCGTGCGGCGAGTGCGGGAAGCGCTTCAGCCGCAGCTCCAGCCTCGTCCTGCACCGGCGGGTGCACACGGGAGAAAAGCCGTACGTGTGCGGCGCCTGTGGGAAGGCCTACGGCAGGAGCTCCCACCTGGCCCGGCACCAGAAGGCTCACACGGGAGCGAGGCCTCACGACCGCGACGGCTTGGGGGGCCCTTTGGCGGCGTCTCTTGGACTCGGGTAGCCCCGGAGGCTCACGCCAGAGAAGGGCCTTAGGAGTGAGGGCGTGTGCCGCCTCCGTGTTCGTCCTCAGCGCCCGCACCGGAGGGCGCTGTGTGCGCACCGGCCTGCAGGGAGCCCCGTCCCTGCTTGCACCGGCCTGGGACACCCCTGGAGAGTCTTCATGAGGGACAGTGCGCTTTCCCAGCCGTCCGGTGCCTCTGGCAGAGCCATCGCTGCCGCCAGCTGCCAGGGTGCCACAGGTGTCAGTCACCCAGGATGCTCAGGGAAGGCAGACCCCTGCACACGCTCACTCCCTGGAGGGAATCCGAGTGTCCGAGCCACAGAAGGTCCTCACTTCCCTGACGGGGTTCTGATGGGCGTGGTCGAGCTCTGGCCCCAGGATCCGAGCGGGAGGCTGCTGGGGATTGCCCACACAGGCTTCTCTTCTCCAAGTAGCAGGGGCTCTAAGCACGAGAGCCGTGAGCCATTGGCCCTCTGCCACCCACACACCGTGGTCTGCTGCCCCGCTCCAGTGTGCCGCGGGGCAGGCCTGCAGGGGGCGTGGCAGCTCCAGGAGGCCTGCTCCCCGTGGGCCGTCCACTGAGAGGAACCCGGGTGCAGCCAGCACGCAGAGAGGGACACCTGTGTTGGCACCAACCTCGTGTGCCTGAGAAGGGACAGCAGGAGGGCAGAGGACAGGCCTCGGTCCACGTTGGCCCAGTTTGCACTATTGTCCGAGGCTCGAGAGAAGCGACTGGAGACCGTGTGTGCCTGAGCCTGCAGCCTGCGAGCCCAGGCTTCCTGGAGCCCGGAGTCCACGCTGAGAAACCGCCGGTGCTTCTGGGAGCACCGTGCTTAGGAGACGTCCCATCCTCCCCGGCACCTTTGGGGACCTCTGTCCCTGGATCCGTGCAGGAGCCGTCCCCGGTGACCAGAATGCATGGGCAGGTGTCAGCCGCTGGAGGGCCACAGGGCAGCGTGCGAGTCATGCTCCGTGTACAATATTGGACCTCTGCGCGGGGCTGACCGGCAGACGAGAGGGTCTGTGTCTGTTACAGAGGCCATCTACAAAGGCCGTCGAGGCAGAGAGGGCACAGGTCTCAGGACCTCGTGCGTCTGCGTCTCCTGTGTCTCCTCTCCTCCCTGGCTGCTGAGGCCTGGCCATCACTGCCCCGCACTGAGAGGAGGCGGGAGGGCCCGGAGGGCGGGTGTGTGACATGGAAATGGACCTCACGCCTCTCTCCGGGGCTCACCCTTCTACATCCTGGGGCCAGAGACCTGGTAGCACAAAATAGCTGCCACATGAGACGTGGCAGGAGGGAGGGCAAGTACGCGTATTTTTATCGAGGTGTGATTGGCATGAAAGACAGCACATATGAGGAGCGTGACATGCTTCGTAGTGTGTACATCATGTGTACAAGCCTGAGGAAACATGACCGAAACCAGGACAGTGACCATGTCCAACAGCAGCACAGGGGCCCTGTTAGAGGCCTTTCCTCCCAGCCTTTCAAACCGTTTCCCACAATTTGCAAACAGCAGCCTTTTCTAGGTTTTTGTGCTTTCTGCTGGAAATGGGATTCTGGTTCTTTTCACTAATCATAATGGTTTTCAGATGAACTCATCTTGTTACATGCACCAATGGTTCATTCATTTGTACTGTTAGGGGTTATTCCATTGTATGGATATTTGGGTGGTTTTCCAGTTTGGGGCTATTGCAAATAAAGCTGCTGTGAATATCATCAGTGTGTGTGATCCCTGAATGCATGGATGGACCACAGTTCACCCACCCACCCTCTGAAAGACGGCAAGGGCTACAGATAGCGTTTTTATTTTCATCTGAGGCAAAATGTTTATTGCTTTTTAAAGTTTCCCCTTGTAATTTTTCCTTTTGCCTAGAGCAGCGGTTCTCAACCTTCCTAATGCCTCGACCCTGTAATACAATTCCTCATGTGGTGGTGACCCCCAACCATAAAATTACTTTCATTGCTACTTTATAACTGTAATTTTGCTACTGTTATGTATTGTAACGTGCACTGGGGGGGGGGGCCCGCCTGCACCCTCTCAGTCTGGGAGCCCTCTGGGGATGTCTGCTCTCTGTGGGGAGAGGGTCTAAGCCGGCACTCGGACACCCTTAGCGCTGCTACAGAGATAGGAGGGGACCACCAGCCGTGAGCCCGGCTTCTGGCTGAGCAGCACTCCTCCTGAGGGAGCGCGCTGACCACCAGGGCATAGCGTCTGCATCGAGTTTCTGCCCCTGGTGGTCAGAGCATGTGCATAGCGACTGGCCATTCCACCATTAGGTCGATTTGCATAATAGCCTTTTATCATGTCGGATTATATAGGGTTATCACAGTTGGGGCCAAAACCCCGACCGTGGCCAAGGCCTCAGCAGTCTCAGTGTCATTCTCCGACTGTTCACACTCAGTGCCTCTCACTCAAAGGGCACTGAAGTCTTAGCCGCCCCCCCCCCCTCCAACCTGTCCCCCATTTCTTCTAGAGCCATTCCTGACACTTTCCTTGGAAAACAACAAAATCGTTATTAGTAACTTTAACATCCATTTCATAAGTGTTTTCCTAGAGGAAACCTGAACTCCCTGGCAGACATGGCCGCTGCAATCGCAGATGCAACGATGAACCGCCTCCCAGACACCCAGACCGTCCTCCCAGAGGTGAGATGCTCGCTGGGCGCAGGCGCTCCAGACAGAAGAGGGACATCCCTCTCCCAGATTCTTAGGTGGAAAGGGCCTCGGTCAGGGAGTGATGAGTCCTGGATGGGAGCACCGTCACTAACCACACCGGCAGCACAGGTGTTTTCTGCGGCAGCCGGAGGCACAGAGAGAGCCTGGCCGCTTCAGGGGGGGTCCTGCCACCCTGATCCAATCCCCATCACAGCCCTGTCCCCAGGCGTTTCTTTGGCCCCTGACAAACCTATTGGGGACGCTCAGAAGGCTCCCCGGCCTCAGTGAGCCTTTGACAACGAGACAGCCCACGGCCAGGAGGGGGCGCGGGTGTCCTTACGCCAAGGAAATCTGAGGGGGGCCCCCGGAACTCCGTTTCCCAGCGCCCCCCACTCGGTCGGTCGCTTGTCCGGTATTCACAGTCAGGAATGACCTGCTTCCCAGAAGGCCCAGGGAACGGCGAGGGAACTACGTTACCCAGAAGGCAGTGCGCGGAGATGGCGGCGGCCGACCAATGAGAGCTCTGACTGCGTGCAAAGCGTGGGGGCGGGGTCTGGATGTCCCTATAGTGACGCACAGCCTGGGGGCGGGGCCTGATGAGTGACGTGAAGAGTTCCAGGGCGGTTAGGGTTGCGGGCTACTCGGTTGTCTTCTCAGCGGTCCAGAGCGCCGTCCCAGGTCTGCGCCTCCCTCTCCCTTCTTTTGCATTCTTTATTCTTCTAGCTGTAAGGCTTCCGTTCAGCCAGCTTCCATTCGGGCGGTTCTGTATTGTAGTTGTAACTTTTAAAAATATTTTATGACCGAAGCCGGTTTGGCTCAGTGGTAGAGCGTCGGTCTGCGGACTGAAAAGTCCCAGGTTCGATTCTGGTCAAGGGCATGCACCTTGGTTGCGGGCACATCCCCAGTGAGGGGTGTTCAAGAGGCAGCTGATAGATGTTTCTCTGTCATCGATGTTTCCGGCTCTCTATCCTTCTCCCTTCCTCTGTAAAAAATCAATAAAATATATATTAATATATTTTATTAATTTTAACAGAGAGAAACGAACCTGGGACCCCTCTGTCCGCCGGCCAACGCTCTATCCACTGAGCCAAACCAGCCAGGGCTTTAGTTGTAATTTTGATGTGGTTCTGGGAGTCGTGTGTACCCGCATTTAACCTACGCCACCGTCTTGGTTCTCCGCAGCATGTGTATTTGAGAAGCCCCAAGAGAGTGGACAGTTATGAATGGGAACGTGCTGTGTCTGAAAATAACAGGCCTGTAACCTCTATGACTTCCTGAACTGCTTCCCGAGAAATCCGAGCCTGACCCCTTTAAAAGCAGGCAAAGCCCTGACTGGTTTGGCTCAGTGGATAGAGCATTGGCCTGCAGACTCAAGGGCCCCAGGTTCGATTCCGGTCAAGGGCATGTACCTTGGTTGCAGGCACATCCCCAGTAAGAGGTGCGCAGGAGGCAGCTCGTCGATGTTTCTCTCTCATCGATGTTTCTAACTCTCCCTCTTGCAGGAGCCCTGGGACTAACTCCATTCCCAGCGCCCCGGACCCGGACCCTGACCCTGGCGCCTGGCCTCTATCCGCCTCTTGGGAGTGACTTAACGACGGAGACCTGACGGTTGGTGGCGGCGGCGGAAACTACAACACCCAGAAGCCTGTTCGGTGCGCGAGGGCCAATGAAGGCTTAGGAGAGGAGCGCTTCCTACGTGCGTACGGTCTGGAGGCGGGACTTCCGGCGTCTTGTGTTTTGTGTGTGTTTGAGCGGGTCCGCGCCTCCGAGGTGCGGGGCCGGGGGAGAAGCCGGCGCTGAGGCGGCGTCCCCGCTGCTTGGAGGCCGTTGGTGACGGCGGCGCCCCGTTCCCGCCCCGTGGCCCCCGCTCCTCCCTCAGGCAGGCGGCGGGCCGCGCGGAGGAGCCCGGCTGAGGTGGTCTCCCCGCCCCGCCGGCTCCTCCCGGCCGGAACCCGGAGCCCGGAGGGGCGCCGCCCGGGTCCCCGCGTCAGGTCCGTGTCCGCCGCTCCTTCAGGGGCGGCCTGAGCGCTGGGCGCCGGGGGCTCTGTGTCCGGCGGAGGCAGGGGCGGGGGGTGTCCCCTCGGGGTCTCTGTGTCCAGGGGGCAGGGGCCGGGGGTGTCCCCTCGGGGGCTCTGTGTCCGGCGGAGGCAGGGGCGGGGGGTGTCCCCTCGGGGTCTCTGTCCAGGGGGCAGGGGCCGGGGGTGTCCCCTCGGGGTCTCTGTGTCCAGGGGGCAGGGGCCGGGGGTGTCCCCTCGGGGTCTCTGTGTCCAGGGGGCAGGGGCGGGGGTGTCCCCTCGGGGTCTCTGTGTCCAGGGGGCAGGGGCGGGGGTGTCCCCTCGGGGTCTCTGTGTCCAGGGGGCAGGGGCGGGGGTGTCCCCTCGGGGTCTCTGTCCAGGGGGCAGGGGCCGGGGGTGTCCCCTCGGGGTCTCTGTGTCCAGGGGGCAGGGGCGGGGGTGTCCCCTCGGGGTCTCTGTGTCCAGGGGGCAGGGGCGGGGGTGTCCCCTCGGGGTCTCTATGTCCAGGGGGCAGGGGCAGGGGTGTCCCTCGGGATCTCTGTGTCCAGGGGGCAGGGGCGGGGGTGTCCCTCGGGGTCTCTGTGTCCAGGGGGCAGTGCCGGGCGGGGTGTCCCCTCGGGGTCTCTGTGTCCAGGGGGCAGGGGCGGGGATGTCCCCTCGGGGTCTCTGTGTCCAGGGGGCAGTGCCGGGCGGGGGTGTCCCCTCGGGGTCTCTGTGTCCAGGAACGAGGGGCTGGAAGCCGGGAGGCTGTGGAGGACCCGGCGGGGAGGGCGCCCCCCTGAGCAGGAAGGGGGGGCGGGGCCGGTCGGTCGGTCTGTGGGTCGGGCCAGGCCAGACGCTGGGGAGAGGCCGGGAAAACAGCCCCCAGGGCTGCCTGTGGCCAAAAGACAACAAAAGAAACCAAAGCAAAGAGGTTGGGAGCCAGAGTGAGGCGGAAAGCCACGTCCCTGGAGTTTTTAAATGTATTTTTATTGATTTCAGAAGCGGGAGAGGGGGAGAGACAAAGGTCAGTGATGAGAGGTCATGGACGGCCACCCCCCACCCCCAATGGAGCCGGGACCCCTCGGTCCGCAGCCAGAGCGCTGTCCGCCCGGCCTGGCCGGGGCTCTGGTTGGAGCGTGTGTGGCCCCCCCACCTCAGAGTGGGCTGTGGGTTCTGATCCGGGTCAGGGCACTCACCTCGGTGTGGGTGTGAGCCCCAGCCAGGGTCTGGACCAGAGGCCACACATCCATGTTTCTCTTTCACGTAGTTTCTCTCAATCAATCAATCAGTAAATCAATAAACGGCCAGGAGGTCCTGGATCAATATTCTCTCATTGGTGTTTCTAACTCTCTATCCCTCTCCCTTCCTCTCTGTAAGAAATCAATAAAACATTTTATACATATACATACATTTTTTTTATTGATTTCAGACATCCATGATGAGAAAGAATCATTGATTGGCTGCCTCCTGCACACACACACACACACACTGGGGATCAAGCTGGCAACTCAGGCATGTGCCCTTGACTGGAGTTGAACCCAGGACCTTTCAGCCTGCAGGCCAACGCTCTATCCACTGAGCCGCACCTGCCAGGGCTAGCGGTCCTTTTACTGCTGCATAGAATCCCGTGGTGTAAAGGTCCCACCGCTGTTGTACCCACTCGTCTGTGATGGTACGTGGGCCGTGTCCGGCTCTCAGCTGCCGTGAATTGGAAGTGGCACTGCCTGCTGAGTGGCCGGGCTCAGACCACCGGGCGGAGGTTGCGTGGCTCCCCTGTAGGGTCCCACCCTGGCGACCCCGTTCTCACGGCCGCCCTCTTCCCACAGGGTCCCATGGCGGCGGCAGAGATGCTCCCCGACACAGCGCAGGTGAGTGGAGGGCGTGGCTGTGTCCACCCATCCCAGCGACCACCCCAGGTTCAGGCACTCCCATAAGTCCCTGCCCTCGGGGAAGGGGGACGTCCTGAAACGGCTCCCATTCTTACCCCCTCGAGTCTGAGCACTCTGCACACTCACCAGCCCCAGGATTATTTCCAGGGCCAGGCTATATGTAGTCCTTCCTTCCTTCCTTCCTTCCTTCCTTCCTTCCTTCCTTCCTTCCTTCCTTCCCTCCCTCCTTCCCTCCCTCCCTCCCTCCCTTCTTTTCCTTTTTTCTAATATATTTTATTGCCAAAACCGGTGTGCTCTCTTTCCTTCTCCTCCTCTCTGTAAAAAATCAATGAAATATATATATTTTTTTAATTAAGAATAAAAAAAAGCTGCCACTGGGCTAAGCCGTCTGCTCTCCAGGGCCGCGTGGTCTTTGAGGACGTGGCCGTCCGTTTCTCCCGGGAGGAGTGGGGGCTCCTGGACGAGGCTCAGCGACGCCTGTACCGGGATGTGATGCTGGAGACCGTGGCCCTTCTGTGCTCCGTGGGTAAGGCTCTCCCACCCCTCCCCTCCCCCCTTCTACCTCCCCCCCTCCGTCCCTCCCTTTCCAGGGGCAGCTGCCCGTCCCCCCGGAGGCCGTGGGCATTGCTGCCTGTCCTGGGTCCTGGCACCGTGTTGTCAGGACCAAGGCCGGGCCATGCACTGTCCCCACTGTCCCCACACGGCCCCATCCCGGCTGCTCTGGGTCCTCCTGAGAAGGCTGAGGAGTCGGGAATCATGGAGGTTGTGAGAGATCCCCGTGGGTCCCCCCCCCGACCCCCTGCCCCGAGCTGAACCCCCTCGGTGGGGGGGGGGGGGGTGTCCTCAGGCCGGATGCTGGGACCTCGGTGCCAGGCCCTGCCCCTCCGCCTGTGTCAGGAAGTTTAAACCCCAGCAGAGTTACTTATTTTAGGGACGGCTACGTTGTTTCTACCATCTGTGCTGTGAAGTTTCTGATAATCATTTTAAATATATTTTATTGGTTTTTTTAGAGGAAGGGAGAGGGAGAGTTAGAAACATCGATGAGAGGGAAACACTGATCAGCTGCCTCCTGCACACCCCCCGCTGGGGATATGCCTGCAACCAAGGTCCATGCCCTTGACCGGAATCGAACCCGGGACCCTTCAGTCCGCAGACCGATGCTCTACCACTGAGCCAAACCGGTTTCGGCCATATGTATATTTTTTATTGATTTCAGAGAGGAAGAGAGAGGGAGGGATAGATAGAAGGGGCCGCCCCCTCCCACCAAAATCCACACCTGCCATTTCTCTGCTCCCAGGTAGTTGGCGTGGACCCCAGGGTGAGGAGGCACCTTTGGAGCAAGGTGATTCCGGGGGAGAATCGCAGGTCAGGACTCCGAAGCCAGACCCGTCCACCCAGATGGCCCGGCCCCGTGAGACGAAAGGCATCCTGCAGCTGGCTGAGCGCGACCGAATGAGCCCCGATCGGGGCCTGCGCCTCTGGGGGACAGCTCCCCCCCCGCAGGACCCGGAGCAGCCGGGAGAACACGCCCCCGGGGCGGGCAGCGCTCCCCTGGCGGGGAAGACCCTCCCGGGCGGCGAGGGCAGGGGGCTCCTCCAGCACTGGGCTCCTGGCGACAGGCGGACCCCACGGCGGGAAACCGCGTGCAGAGAGACCCAGGGGACGGGCCGGGACGGTCTCAGGTGCCCGCAGTGTGGGAAAAGCTTCAGCCGGAAGCAGGTCCTCGCGCAGCACCAGAAGATCCACACGGGCGTCCGGCCGCACGCCTGCAGCAAGTGCGGCATGGCCTTCCTCAGGAAGTTCCACCTCGCGCAGCACCAGCGGGTCCACAGCGGGGAGCGGCCCTTCGCGTGCGGCGCGTGCGGCAAGGCCTTCCCGTACAAGTCCACGCTCCTCGGGCACCAGCGGGCCCACGCCGAGCCGGGCCCCGCCGAGTGCGGCCAGTGTGGGAGACTCTTCAAGTACAAGGCCAACCTCGAGAAGCACCAGCGAGTTCACGGCGGAGAGTGGCCGCATGCGTGCCGGCTGTGCGGGAAGCTCTTCAAGTACCACTACCGGCTGGTCAGGCACGGGCAGGTGCACACCGAGGAGCGGCCCCACGCGTGCGGGCAGTGCGGCAAGCTCTTCCGCTACCGCTCGACCTTCGTGCGGCACCAGCGGGTGCACACCGCAGAGCGGCCCTACGGCTGCCCCGAGTGCGGCAAGCTCTTCCGGTACAACTCGGCGCTGGCCAAGCACCAGCGCGTGCACACGGGGGAGCGGCCCTTCCAGTGCAGCGAGTGTGGGAAGTTCTTCCGCTACACGTCCACGCTCCTGCGGCACCGCCGGGTCCACACGGCGGCGAGGCCCGAGTGCAGCGTGTGCGGGCAGGCCTTCCGGCACCAGGCCACGCTCCTCAAGCACTGGCAGAGTCACACCGGGGCCAGGCCGTACGCGTGCGGCGAGTGCGGGAAAGCCTTCGCCTACCACTGCCGGCTCCTCAGGCACCAGACGGTTCACACCGGAGAGAGGCCCTTCGCGTGCAGCCAGTGCGGGAAGTTGTTCCGGTACAACTCCAGCCTCATGAAACACTGGAGGAACCACACCGGGGAGCGGCCCTTTGCGTGCGGCGAGTGCGGCAAAGCCTTCAGCCACAGACACATACTCGTGGAGCATCAGAAAATCCACACGGGGGAGCGGCCCTACGCGTGCAGCAAGTGTCAGAAGGCCTTCGTCAGGAAGTCCCACCTTGTCCAGCACCAGAAAATCCACACTAAAGACAGGCCCGGGAGAGGCATGGGGGTGAGAAATTCTTCGTCTACCGCTCCCACCTCACTGAACAGAATTCACGCTGGCAAAGAGCTCAGGGGCTCAGAGACTGCGGTAAACCTATTGGATACCACGCTAAACCCATTCCCCTGGAGAAGGGCCTTGTGAGTTCATGCCGGGTCAGGGCCTTCCGAACACAGTGAATGCGGGAGCATCTGTAAGTGTAACCCCCAACCCGTGACACATCACAGATTTCACAGTGGAGAAAGACAGTGCTCAGCCAAAACGCCAACCACATTTTGGCACCCAAGGTTCCTGCCAGAGAGAGTATTGCAAATGGTGAAGGTCTTCAGCCAGATGTCTGCTCCAATTCATTCCTTGGAACTACTGTAATGTAGTTTTTAATTGTGGTAAAATACACGTAACCAAGTTTACCCTCTGGCATTTTAATGGCACGATTTAGTCATGTTAAAAATTCACACACACACACATATCTTACCTAATAATAGACAAACATGTAAAAGTGACTGTACCTTCCCTATGCCCACAGCCAATCAGAAGTGAGTATGCAAATTAACCTGACAAAGATGGTGGGTTAATTTGCGTATATGGGCATGGAGCCTCTGGGAGGGTCAGGATGCCTGCTATTATGGGGTGGTGTTGGCCTGGGGGTTGTGAGGGGTTGTGGAGGAAGCTATAGGAGCGGAGCTCCGGCTGGGAGAGAACTTGCAAGTGCAGACTTGCAAGCTCCCTGGTGGCTGGGAGCGAAGCCAGGGGAAGGAAGGCCTATCCTTCCACTATATATTATGCAACAGGCCTCTAGCATTCACATATTTGTGCAACTAATCTCCAGTATTTTTTTTTTTTTTTTTATCTTGCAAAACTGAAACTCCATACCCACTAAACAGCTCCTCCAACCCTTGCCCTACTGCCTCAGGCAACCACATTCTGCTTTCTGTCTCTCCCAATTTGACTCCTCAGGGTATTTCATATAAGTAGAGTCATACAGCTTTTGTGTTTCTGTGACTGGATGCCTTGGCTGAGTGTAATTTTCCCATGCTGGAGCTTTTGTCAGCATTTCCTTCTAGTTTGAGAAGGAATCAGGGTTGACCTTGGGGACATGGGGAATGGTGCTGCTGGAATCCATAGAGCTTTGCCCGATGTTGCGATATTTCTGCAGGAAGGGAGGTCTAGGTTTTATATGGACTCTTTATTTAACAGCTGTATTGATATCTTGACATAAATGGCATTTTTTTTCAGTGTAAAATATATTTTCATATGTGGGTGCATAATGGGACCATCACCAAAGTCATGGTAATGAATAGATCCATCACCCTATTGTTTTCTTTTTTAAGTATTGATTTTTTTTTTTTTTTTTTTTAGGGAGAAAGAAGCATTGCCTTTGTTGTTCCACTTATTTATGCATTCCTTGGTTGATTTTTGTATGTGCCCTGACTGGGGGATTGAACCCACAACTTTGGCATACGGGATGAGGCACTAGCCAACTGAGCTACACTGCCAGGGCCATTTTTTATTGGTCCTTTTATTGTTTCAGTTCTACCCAACTGGTCATCCCCAGGTACACACTATAGTTTGCATGCATTTCTAGAATTGTATAGAAGAAATCCTACAGTTACTCTTGTATAGCTGTTTTTATTAAGTGCGTATATGGTTTTTAGTATTATCCATGTTGTGTGTGCAAAAGCATGGCATCCAATAAGTAGGGCTCCTTTCATAGAAGAAGGGAGAGGGAGATAGTGACATCAATGATGAGAGAAAGTCATTGATCAGCTGCCTCCTGCACGCCTACTGGGAATGGAGCCCCCAACCCAGGCATGTGCCCTTGACTGGATTGGAAACTGGGACCCTTCCGTCCTCAGGCCAATGCTCTATCCACTGAACCAAACCGGCTAGGGCTCACATGTCTATTTCTGACACTTGTGCTAGACAGCACCCCAGGGAAACGAAGGTATGTCCCCTTTAAGAGCTACTAAGCCCCACTGCATCCTTAAGAGACTGGGAACTCCAATTCCCAGTGCCTCTCGCGTCATAGGTGGGCCTCTACCCCCAAACTGTAGGAACCAGCACGTCAGCCAGAGAAAGAACCAGTGGAGGAACTACATTACCCAGGAGGCCCTGTGGCAACCGATGGACGGCGAGAAGAGCCAATGAGAGTTTAGCATGGAGCCGCTTACGCGCCCACGCGCCTGGAGGCGGGACTTCCGGCGGCGTCCCTCGGGCCGTGAAAGGGATTTCTTCCGGATCTCAGGGCGGCCGGGCTGGGGCCGGTGCCCAGGACCAAGCGAGTGGAGGGCGGCGGGCGATGTCCCCGTTCCCGCCTCGTCAGCCCCGCTCCTCCCTCAGGCCGGAGGGAGGGCTGCGCCGAGGAGCCCGACTGAGGTGGGTGCAGCGCCCCCCGCCGTCTCCTCCCAGCCGGAGCCCCGATGGGGGGCGGGTCCGCGTCCGCCGTCAGGAGGGGGCAGCGCTCCCTCAGGGGCGGCCTGAGCGCTGGGAGCCGGGGTCTCGTCCAGGGGCGAGGGGTGTCGTCTCGGGGTCTCTGTGGCCAGGGGGCAGGGGTGTCGCCTCGGGGTCTCTGAGGCCAGGGGGCAGGGGCGAGGGATGTCCCCTTGGGGGCCGACCTGAGCGGCGGGATGCTTGGAAGGTGGAGATTTCCAGGAAACGTGTATGTGGTCGTTTTGGTGACCACGATGTGTTTGGTCCCGTCACAGATGCGGGCTCACAGCCCCCCAAGCCCTGGGAGAGCCCCCGGTGTGCACGGCGACGGTGTCTTTTGGTTGAGAGAAGCGGGAAAAGCTTCTGAGCGTGGTGAGAACCGACACTGTGATTGGCGGGCTGGGGACTTCCGGTCGGGAGAGGGACTGGCGAGTAAGTAGTGGGTCCTGTCATCAGTCACGTCTGTGCAGCGAACCCTCCGTAAGCCCAAGCGTGTCAAACGCAAGGCTCACACAGGCCGAATAAACAAGGTTTACATGGATGTGGACGCAAGAAAAACAAAAGCTTCCGTTTTCATAGAAACGTAGGTTTATTTCGAGAGACATGCTGAATGCAGAGGGCTGAAATAAGTCGTTAACATAAGATAGTAGAACATTTTTAAAATTATATATTTTATTGATTTTTTTACAGAGAGAAAGGGAGAGAGAGACTTAGAAACATCGATGAGAGAGCAACATCGATCAGCTGCCTCCTGCACACCTCCACTGGGGATGTGCCAGCAATCAAGGTACATGCCCTTGACTGGAATCGAACCCAGGACCCCTCAATAGAATATTTTAATAAGTTTTCGGCAATAGTAGAATATTTTAATAAAAATTAATATTTGTCCTTGAACACGAACTTACCAGACACTGAAGGTCACACAAATAAGGTATTTTTCTTGTTCTCTGAAAGCGAAATATTTCCTGTTGAGCCCACCAAACAAGTCAGTCCAAACTAAGGATGGGGCCATTGGTGGCTAGACTATTTGCTGCTGGTGTTAGTGGAGAGAAACGGTGTGCGGGTGCATATAGTCCATAAGGGAAATGAATGCCACGCTATTACAGTAATCAGTCATTACCAAATGTTGTGGTTAGTTATTAATTTACTAGAGGCCCAGTGCATGAAAATCGTGCAGTAGGCCTGCCTTCCCCAGGCTGCTGGCACCAGCTTCCCTCTGGGACCCAGGACCCCCGTTTCCCTCCCGGCTTCATCTGGAAGGTCGTCCAGGACATCCAGGAAGACATCTGGTCTACTTAGCATATTACACTTTTATTATTACAGCTTATGTATAACAGGATATTGTAAAAATTAAGTTGCAGAACTTTTATTACAAAGTTTCTCACATGCCTGTTATATTGCCTGTGCTGCAAAAGTATTCGTTGTGAGCCGCACGCACCCGCCGGCCAAGAGTTTGACATGCTTGCCCTGCAGAGAGGAGCAGGATGAACTCTGCCCTGTATTTACGGGAAGTGAGGTCCAAAATTTCAAATTAGATTTAAAAAGTCAGTGTCCCGAGTTCCAGCCCCAGTCCCAACCCCAGTCCAGGTGCGTGCAGGAGGCAGCCAATGGACGAGTCTCTTTTCCCCTCTCACACCCCTCACTCTCTCTCTCTAGAAACCAATGTAAATACTATCCTTGGGTAAAGATTTTTAAAATATATATATTTTATTATTATTATTATTATTTTTATTTTTTTTAACAGAGAGGAAGGGAGAGAGATAGTTAAAAACATGGATGAGAGGCCGAAACCGGTTTGGCTCAGTGGATAGAACATCAGTCTGCAGACTGAAGGGTCCCAGATTCCATTCCGGTCAGGGGCATGTACCTTGGTTGCGGGCACATCCCTGGTAGGGGGTGTGCAAGAGGCAGCTAGTCGATTCTCTCTCATCGATGTTTCTAGCTCTCTATCCCTCTCTCTTCCTCTCTGTAAAAAAAATCAATAAAATATATATTAAAAAAAACAAAGAAGAAAGAAACATGGATGAGAGAGAAACATGGCATATTCCCTGCTAGGCTATGGCCTTTCTCCAGTGTGGACTTTCCAGTGTCGGATGAGGGAAGCCCTTTGCCTGAAGGCCTTCCCACACTCACTGCACTTATACGGCCTTTCTCCGGTGTGGATCCTATGGTGCTGAACGAGCACATGCTTGTGGCTAAAGGCTTTCCCACACTCGCTGCACACGTAGGGCTTCTCACCGTTGTGGACCCTCTGGTGTGCAACGAGGTCGGAGCTTTGGGTAAAGAATTTCCCGCACTCAATGCACTCGTAAGGCCGTGCCCCGGTGTGAACACTCCAGTGTTTGATGAGTCTGTATTTGTGACCAAAGTATTTCCCACATTCGCTGCACTCGTACGGCCTTTCTCCAGTGTGGACGCTCTCGTGCTGGACAAGCGTGGATTTGTGGCTGTAGGCTTTCCCACATTCGCTGCATTTGTAAGGCCTTGCTCCAGTGTGAACTCTTTGGTGCACACTCAGGTTTGAGCTGTGATTGAAAACTTTCCCACAGATGCCACACTCGTAGGGCATTTCTCCAGTGTGAATTCGCTGGTGCTGAGCGAGTATGGGTTTGCGGCTGAAGGTTTTCCCACACTCGCCGCACTCGTATGGCCTTTCTCCAGTGTGGACTCTGTGGTGCTGGACGAGCGAGTCTTTGCGGCTGAAGGCTTTCCCACACTCGCTGCATTCGTGATGCCGCTGTCCGCTACGCAAGGCCTCCACACACTCGCCGCCACCGTGGGGAGCGCGGTGCTGGGAACTGCCCGAGCGAGCTGAGAAGTCCTCGCGGGCCTCCCCAGGCACAGAGGGCACCTTCCGGGGCTGGACAGGGCAGCTGTTCACAAGAGAGGCCCGGCCCTCGTCTCCTCTGAAGGGCTTCTCTCCCCGACGCTGTTTCTGGTGCTGAAGGTTCCCACTGAGCCAGAATTGTTTCCCACACGGCTTCTGCCCAGAGTGTGTTTCTTGGTGCTCAGCCAAGTGTGAAATGTCTTTCAAGACCAGGCCACCTGCCTCACGGGAGTAGGCTTGCTGGGTGGCAGGGCCTGACTTGAGAGTCCCGACCTGTGACACTCCTTCTGCAGAAACCCTTTGCTTAAAAGGTATCTCATCCTCCATGCCAGGCCAAGAACCTGAAAGCAGACAAATGCTGGTGAAGTTCAAGTTAACACTTGTCTGGTTGCATATGTGTGTCTCACAGAACTAAGAGCAAGGTCATAGCTCAAGTTGAGCAAGGTCATAGCTCAGGTTGAGTAAAGGGCTGCCATGCAGCAGTTTACATATCAAAGGTCATAGAAGGGGCCCTCGCTGGTTGGCTCTGCAGATAGAACGTCAGCCTATGGACTGAAGAGTCCCAGGTTCGATTCCAGTCAAGGGCACATGCCTGGTTGCAGGCTCAATCCCCAGTAGGGGGCCTGCAGGAGGCAGCCAATGAATGAGTCTCCTAATCAATGAGTCTCTCTCATCACTGATGATTCTATCTTGCTTTCCTCCTTTCCCTTCCTCTCTGAAATCAATAAAAAAAAAATTTTTAACAAAAAAATAAAGTCACAGAAGGGAAGAGGCCTTGACTGGGGGCGGAAACAACTGTGGGGTACAGCCCGGGAAAGCCAGGGTCTCCGATGACTCCATCACAGCAGCTTTCAGGAACGCCGTGGCTGCTGGAGGCAGGTGAGAGCTGTGTACAGGTTTGTTCCCTGAAGAGGTACAACGGAATCACTGGTATTTAAGGACTCTCTGGGGGCTGTGGAGAGCTGACACATTCAGTTCAGGCAAACGTTGGAGAGCACTGCAGAGGGAGCAGTGGAGAAGAGCAGGTGTGATGTGGAGGCAGAGGCCAGGGACAGACAGGTCAAAGGGCAGAGCACAAAATGCAAGTGTTATAAATGGGAAGTAAAGCCGAGACCGGTTTGGCTCAGTGGATATAGAATCAGTCTGCGGACTGAAAGGCCCCAGGTTCGATTCCGGTCAAGGGCATGTACATTGGTTGTGGGCACATCCCCAGTAGGGAGTGTGCAAGAGGCAACTGGTCGATGTTTTTCTCTCATCGATGTTTCTAGCTCTCTATCCCTCTCCCTTCCTCTCTATAAAAAATTAATAAAATATATTTTAAAAAATAAAATAAAATAAAATAAAATAAATGGGAAGTAAAGACAAAAAAGGAATGTGGCGCTAAAACAACTGTGGGCACCGAGAGGGTGGGGACTGCCTGGGGCCCAGCTTGTTATGACACCCCCAACACCCACTCACCAGAACCACACCCACTCTGGTCCTGGCTGGACTCATGTGCACCCAGTCTGACACCCAGGGTACCCATGGCTGTGACACAGGAAGGGCCAGGAATCCCCTGGAAAACAGGAGGGGCAGAGCCCAGTCCAGGACCCCGGGGTGGGTGTGAGGAGCTCACCCAGCGAGGCCAGGAGGGCGAAGTTCTCCAGCATCACGTCGCAGTACAGGCGTCGCTGGGCCTCGTCCAGGAGCCCCCACTCCTCCGGGGAGAAGGACACAAACACGTCCTCCACGTTCACCTGTGCCTGCCAATGGGGAGAGCGGGTCCATGGGCAGCCTCTCCCTCAAGGACACTCCCTCAGGTCCCCCCATTCCTTTTTATTTTAAATATATTTTATTTATTTTTTACAGAGAGGAAAGGAGAGGAATAGAGTTAGAAATATAGATCAGCTGCCTCCTGCATGCCCCCTACTGGGGATGTGCCCGCAATCAAGGTACATGCCCTTGACTGTGGGCTGGCGAAGGACAGGGTGGGCTCTGCCAGCAGGAAAGTGTAGGCTCGATTCCCAGTAGAGGGCGTGTAGGAGGCAGCCAATTGATGATTCTCATCATTGATGTTTTTCTCTCCCTCCCTCTCCCTTCCTCTCTGAAATTAAAAAAATAAATAAATCCTCCTATATATAACAAAAGGCTAATATGCAAATCAACCAAATGGCATAACAAACAGTCGCTATGAAGCACACTGACCACTAGGGGGCAGACAGTGCCACTCGGCCAGAAGCCAGGCTCATGACTGGCGATCACAGCGTCAATGGCGAAGCTAAGCCATTGGCAGCACTAAGGATGTCCGACTGAGGGCTTAGACTAGCTCCTGGTGCCGTCAGTCAGACATCCCCCAAGGGCACAGGTTGGGCTGAGGGCCTCGCCCCAGAGTGCACGGATTTCATGCACCGGGTCTCAAGTAAATAACTAAATGTTAAAAATAATAAGAGGCCTAACTCCCACCCACCTGCTTTTGATACCTGGTATTTAAGGACTTGAGAACTCCCATCCCCTCCCTCCAAGTATTTGCACCTTCTACCCCTTATTCCATGGCTACCAGGAATGGGAACCCTTCCGTTCGACCCCAGGCTAGGACCCAGCACTCTGGGCTGGGCCTTTCTCCACGGTCTGCAGCCTCAAGAACTGTGGGCGTGCACGTGGCCTCTGACACCATAATCCTGGAGGCCAGGGAGGTGGGGAGGGGACCAGGGAGCACGGCATCCACCCCTCACCTGTACAGGGTCCGTCATCACTCCCGAGCTCCGGGGAACCTGTGGGGAGAGGGAGACCGTGAAAGACCAGCAGCCAGGAAGGGGCCTCCAGGGCTCAAGCCTGTCCCCTTGGCTTGCCCCGCCCACCACGGAGACCCAGGGCTGCCGCCCACCTTCTGTGCTCAGGCCTTAGAGCTGCCGAAGGCTGTGACCTGGGACCGGGTCTCCTTTTTGCTGTGCCTCGCTGTCCTAGTCATCCCCCACCCCGCGCAAGTCTGTGCATCCCTGAGCAGCCTGTGGAATTCTTATAAAAGCCCCCAACCACAGGACCGGCGTGACTCAGTGACTGAATTTCAACCTATGAACCAGATGGTCACAGTTCACTTCCAAGTCAGGGCACATGCCCGGGGTGGGGGCTCAATCCCCAGTGTGGGGCTCACAGGAGGCAGCCTTTTCACATCATAAATGATTCTTTCTCCCTCTCTCTTTTTTCTTTTAATAACATTGATTTTTCACAGACAGGAAGGGAGAGGGATAGAGAGTTAGAAACATTGATCAGCTGCCTCCCCCACAGTCCCCACTGGGGATGTGCCTGCAACCAAGGTACATGCCCTTGACCTGAATCGAACCCGGGACCATGGAGTCCGCAGGCCAAGGCTTTATCCACTGAGCTAAACCGGTTTCGACCATATATATATTTTTAAAAAAACATCTCACCCTAACTCTGTCGGCCTGCGGACTGAAGGGTCCCAGGTTCGATTCCGGTCAAGGGCATGTACCTTGGTTGCGGGCACATCCCCAGTGGGGGGTGTGGAGGCAGCTGATGGATGTTTCTAACTCTCTATCCCTCTCTGTAAAAAAATCAATAAAATATATTTTTTTAAAATAATAATAGCCGAGCCGAAGCCGGTTTGGCTCAGTGGTGGAGCTTCGGTCTGTGGACTGTAGGGTCCCGGGTTCGATTCCGGTCAAGGGCATGTACATTGGTTGCGGGCACATCCCCGGTAAGGGGTGTGCAAGAGGCAGAGGGTCGATGTTTCTCTCTCATCAACGTTTCTGGCTCTCTGTCTCTCTCCGTTCCTCTCTGTAAAAAATCAATAAAAATATATTTTAAAATAATAACAATAATAATAATAATAAACACCTCAAACCGTTCTCTCAGAATGACAGCTGCTAGAGCTGACACTGCGGACGTCACTCCTCCTCACACTGGACCCCGCGGACACGGGCCGGTCGCCCTCCCCGGGGCCGTCACGCCAGGTTTCCTCGGACTGCCGGTCAGACGCGGCCCCACGAGCGCCCCCACGGCCCGGACCGGCAGCCCTCATCCTCGGGGCCTGAGGCTTCAGGGACGGAGGCCGGGGAGGAGCCGGGCGCACACCCACCTGCGCGGCCTCCGCCTCCGGAAGCTGAGGGCGGGAGACCAGAGCTCGGACCCGGGCTCTGGCGGCGGCCCGTCTCTGTCCGGGAAGAACCGCCTCCGCGCCTGTCACCTCAGGTCTAACTCGGCGTCCGGCACCCTGAGGAGGCGGGCTCCTCTGAGAGCAAAATGTCCACCCAGGAAGGAAACCGGAAGTCCCGCCCCGACGCTTTCCCCACGCACGGAGACGACCCTTCCCAGGGTCTTCATTGGTCCCGAGCCGCCGAGGCTTCTGGGAAACGTAGTTCCTACGGGCTCCAACCGTGGAGACTCGCCTCGCGCGCCGCCTCCCGGGCGAAGGCAGACTCACAGAGCCGCCGGCGCCTCGAAAGAGAGGACGAGGCCCGATGACGGGACGGGGCGGGCGAGACGAGGCTCAGGCCGCAGCCCCGGGGGGACCCCCATTCTGGGATCCGGGCGACCAGGTCCTCCCTCCACTCCCCGGCCCGGTCCGCGCGCAGAGTCCATGGCGGCTGCCGCGCTGAGGCGCCGGGCTGAGGTGAGCGCGTCCCGGGCCTCCCCGCGTCCCCCGTGAGCGCCCCCGGCTGAGGGGAGCCGGTGCCGGGGACAAGGGGTTCCGGTGGGGACTGGGCGCCCGGGTGACCGGCCATAGCAGCGGGGTCCTGGCCCATCTGCCGTCGGAAGTGCGTGGGCACCGGGGCCTCGCGGGCTCCGCCAACCGCCCAACCGCCCCCGGTCCCACCGGCCCCGGACCGCCCAACCGCCCCCGGTCCCACCGGCCCCGCCGACCGCCCTTCCGTCTGTCGCAGTCCCCGTCCCCCTGGCCCCGCCAACAGCCCCCTGGGCCCGGGAAGGCGCAGGCGGGGCCCTCGCTGTCCCACCGCCGCCAAAGGGCCAGAGCGCCCCTTCCCGGTCCGCCTGGGCCGGGTCCCTCCTCGGGGTAAGGAGTTTCCTCCTGCATCAGCCCGGCTGGGGCCCCCCAACCCCGCCAGGAGCTGAGGGCACGAGGCGGGAGGGGAGGGAGCAGGGCTCTCAGAGGCTTCCCCAAGGCGGGGCGTGCAGGTTCCCCCGCGTTTTCTGCCATTTTTTTCCTCAGATGCTTCTAATGCCGCCACCACGGCTTTAAATATATTTTACTGATTTTTTACAGAGAAGAAGGGAGAGGGATAGAGAGTTAGAAACATCGATGAGAGAGAAACATCCCCTACTGGGGATGTGCCTGCAACCAAGGTCCATGCCCTTGACCGGAATCGAACCTGGGACCCTTCAGTCCGCAGGCCGACGCTCTATCCACTGAGCCACACGGGTTTCGGTGCCAGCTCGGCTTTAATGATTGACATTAAACATCACCCCAATAGAAGCTGTGCGCGCACCCCGCCCAGAGGGCAGCGCCCCAGCGTGGGCAGGCCAGCCCCTGACCCAGGTTCTCTTTTTGGTCCCCAGGAACATTCCCCTCATGCCACTAACTTGTCTGCTCCCCAACTCCCAACAATGGCATTTCTAGGGGTTCTCTCTGTCTCTCACCCCTCCTCCCTCCTGCTTGGCTGAACCCTGTTCCTGGGCAGTCATCCCATCCGTCCCCCTGCAGTGGGGTGTGATGTCCTGATCAGAGGCCCCCAAAAACCTCTCCCCTTCCTCCAGGTGAGGTCACACCGAGGAGGAGGCAGTGGATGGACCTGAAAGAGGGCTCTCGCCAGACACCGAGCCTCAGACACCTTGACCGTGGACGGCCAGCCCCCGGAACTTGGAGGTAAACTTCCATTGTTCCTCTGCTACCCAGTCTAGAACTTGTTCTCTTTCCATTTCCTTTTTTTTTTCGGGTTCTCTCTCAGAGCTGCCCAGAGGGACCCGGATAGGTACATATAGTCTGAGCCTTCACCCAGAGGGAGCAGCTCATCCCCGAGATAGATGTTTGGTTGCTGTTTGAGGAGGATGTCAGCGGTTCAAATAACTACTCTGGCCCTGGTTGGTGTGGCTCAATGGATAGAGCATCGGCCTGAGGACTGAAGGGTCCTGGGTTCGATTCAGGTCAAGGGCACATGCCCGGGATGCAGGCTCAATCCTCAGTGGGGGTTGTGCAGGAGGCAGCCGATCCATGATTCTCTCTCATCATGGATGTTTCTGTCTCTCACTCCCTCTCCCTTTCTCTCTGAAATAAATAATGTGTGTGTGTGTGTGTGTGTGTGTGTGCATATATATATATATATATATATATATATATATATATATATAGAATAATATAGTGGAAACAGCAATTTCAAGGCAGAAGAAATATCTGATTTTTCCTGAGTTGGGAATATAATCCACAAGAAAATATGTGCTATTATCATCATCATTATGATTAACATTATGATATGGCTAGGGGGGAACATACATGGGTTCAACCAGTTTAGATCAGTTTGGCCGTTTCTCAAGTATGAAAACATCCACATACTCTGAAGTACTGGTACAAGAGAAAACACATTCCCATGGGGCGGAGGGGATGTCCAGCCTGCAGCTGCACAAGGCCTGAGAAATCACGTGATCTGGCCCTGCCAAGGCGTGAGGGGGAATTCATTAAATGTTTGGCCAAACAGCTGAATGATGTTGTAAGTATCCGACCAAGGCTCCACCCATGATACAGAGCATTGTATTATATGCCAGCACATGCTCTCTCCCCCCAGAGCACACTCACTTGAATCTTTCTTTCTTTGTATAATAAATGTTTTATTGATTTCAGGGAGAGAGAGAGACCCTGCACTGGGAACCACGCCCGCAACCCGGGCATGTGCCCTGACGGAAAATCAAACCGTGACCTCCTGTTTCATTGGTCGACACTCATCAACTGAGCCACGCCGGCCGGGCTGGAATCTTCTTTGCGAGTACTTTCCTCCCTCTCTGTGTCCAGCTGTATTTCTAACAGCACTAAACTGGAAACTACCCCCTGCCTGTGAACAGGAGAACACAGAGTGGATCTCCATAGAGAAGACTAAGCAAAGTAAAGGATGACTATTCACATAAGCAACATGGGTGAATCTCAGAACGATAATGTGGTGTAAAATATCCAAAGAAAGAGGGAACACTTGGAGTTCGTGACTCCTGTAGGCTGGAAGGAGAAGGAGCAGTTATAAAAGGGTACAAGGTAAGACGTGAACATGTTAACTGCTCATGATTGTTTTCTGGGCTTACATATCTGACAAAAGTTTTCCAAGGGCACACATTAGATACCTATAGATATCTTTGGTAAAGGCGCTAAAAAATAGTTCAACATAAAAAAAATAAATAAAAAAAATCTGGATCTCCCACAGGCTTTGGAAAGCAGAAGTCTGAAGCACCCAATGCTGACTCCACTCCATTCCCCTTATTCCTGGAGAGGGCAGCCCTGACTCTGTCTCGGAAACATTGGGAGCCACGGATCTGATGTCAGAGCCACAGCTGAGACAGCAGACGCCATTTTATGTCCTGCCTCTAAGCAACGGACTTGAGCTGAAGCCCAGAATGACAGCGGGAACTCACAAAACCTTTATTTTTTTAAATATGTATTTTGTTGATTTTTTTACACTGAGGAAGGGAGAGGGGTAGAGTTAGAAACATCAATCAGCTGCCTCCTGCACAACCCTCACTGGGGATGTGCCTGCAACCAAGGTGCATGCCCTTGACCGGCATCGAACCTGGGACCTTTCAGTTAGGGCTATTTTTAAATATATATATTTATTGATTTCAGAGAGGAAGGGAGAGGAAGAGAGAGAGAGATAGAAATATCAATGATGAGAATCATTGATAGGTTGCCTCCTGAACGCCCCTTGCTGGGATTCGAACCTGGGCATGAGCCCTAGACTGGAATCGAACTGGGGACCTCTCAGTCTGCAGGCTGATGCTCTGTCCACTGAGCCAAACCAGGTAGGGCATTTTTAAAAATTTATTTATTGTTGATCCTCAACCGAGAATATTCTTCCACTGATCTTTTTAGATGGAATGGAAGAGAGGGGGAAAGAGAAACACCAATGTGAGAAAGACACATCGGTTGTTTGCCTCATGCATGTGCCCTGACAAAGCCCAGGGAGGAGCTTTCAACCAAGTACATTGAAAGGAATCGAACCTGAGACCGGCTGGTCCACAGGCCACACTCTATCCACTGAGCCACACCAGCCAGGGCTCACAAAACCTTTAGATTATTTGCTCTGACAGTGACTTCAGCTGGGGGATACACCCTCTGGGGCTGCTCACAACCACTGAGAGGTTTCTGGACGCACGTTCAGAGGAGGCACCTCTGTCAGGTTTGCAGCGGGTCCTCTCTGCCTGTCTGTTACACCCAGTGATGGCTGAAACCTGGCTCCCCTGGTCTGAGGTGTGGGACCTGTCTACGTGCAGAATTCTGACCATCAGGACACGAGGCTCCTTTTTCCCCCCCTATTTTTTAATTTCTAATTTTTTCTTACACGTGGCTCCTTTGTAGAACTGTTGGGTGCAAACGTGAGTGAACGACCACTGGAGTCCAGACCAAATTAAAATTTAGGGAGCCTTTATTAGCCTGCCAGCCGAACAGCAACTACTCTGCCTTTCTCCACGCAGGGAGTCAGCAGCCCTGACCCTTTGTGCAGGACTGCTTTTAAACCCATTTACCACATCCTGTTTTTGCAGAGCAAGCAACCCAAGACAAAACCGTTTTTCCCAGTCAATGTCAGGGTCATGCCATTGACAACCATGTCATTCACAGGGTCATCCTGTTCTTCAGAAAGCTGACAGTGTTGTGTGTTCTATCTTGCAAGGCTATTTTGTGAGTCAGCTGGGACCTACACGCATGCTCAAAAATTTCTACTCTCTAACAGAACCTGGTGAAGTTTCCCTTCGACAGCACTGAGCATTATGGGGGACCCTCTGGGAGCCCCCAAAGACACTGGAGCTGCCCAAACGAGCGAGCCCTCCTCAGGGCGACCTGTGGTCTCAAAGTACATGGAGGCCGCAAATCAGGAGCGGGAAGCACTGCCCTGGTCCCAGGAGGCCTTGGGCAACCCCGGCCCACATCGGGAACAGTCCCACATCCTGTCATGACCGGATGTGGTGCCATGCCGCCGGGGCGCTGGGAATGCCAGGGGCACTTTGTAAAGTATGTGACCCTCTCAACAAGCGACACATCTGAATGCAGACAAAATAGCATTCGACGGACTTGGTCTTCCACCTCCGCCTCCTGGCCGACCCCTGTGAATCGCAGCAGGGGGCAGCAGGAACTGGAACCTGTTGTGGGTCTCAGGCCCCCACAGCCCCACCTCCCTGTGGTCCTGCCGCCTGGTGACGGAGCCTCAGAGCGGCTGAGCTTCCTCTGCAGCGGGCGTGTGTGCCTGACTGTCTGTTTTGTCCCGTTAGATTATCCTCTGGCTGTAAGGGGAGTGGCTGTAAGAGTTCTAGGTTTGCTGCGGCCGCATCATCAAAATCAGTCTCTCTGCCCTTCGTGGCACCTCCTGCTGTCCTTCCACTGAAACGCAGGTCCTCTACACTCCCACTCCGCACATCGGCTCCATGGAGAAGCCGTCACTGCGGTGGATCTGGCTGTCGAGACTGAGAAACAAGCAGGCCCCTGGGAAAAGACACAGCAAATGGCAAGAATCCACAACTCGGCTACCGCTAGGAGTTCTTGGAAAGACTTATCAGCCCTTCCCTTCAGACAAACCAAGCCCGATTCTGTTTTCCTCCCGCCCCGCAGTGCACAGCACCCGTACGATTAGAGTTGGACTCGACCATGAACCTTTCCTTCGGCACAGAACAGAGCAACGGGGCGGCCACCTGCAGGTGGGACTTGGAGGCTGGAAAAATCCACTGTCATGGGAGACCGACCATTTCCAGGAAGGAGGCGGCCGTTCCTGCTGGCGAACCTGGGTCAGCTCCCTCGTAATCAGGGGGCTCAGGGTCAGGGCACAGATGGCTAGATCTCTAGGGAATGGCGCCAGCACAGGCACCCACCTCGCCTCAGGGACATGGCGTCACACATTAAATCCTATGCCAGGCTGTGGAGGCAAGACAGCCTCTTCCAGGGAGTCGGGCAAGGATGGAGCTGGCAAGGGACCAGGGGCCTTTAGCTCCTGCAAGCCCACACCCGCCTGGAACTCGGGGGAAGCTCAACCCTCTGGCTGTTTGGAGCGATGAGGGTCAACCTCAGGCACATGGCTTCTCAGATGCCGTCACGTGTCATGACAGCGAGCAAGGAGCCGCACATTCCCTCCCAGTCTAAGGCTTTTCTCAAGTGTGGGCCTACTACTCCTGGTATAAACCACAGGTGTTGGCACGAGGGACTGTCCCGCTCATGAGGCCTCTCCGTGGGGTGGGATTTTGGGTGGAGAATGTGGCTGGAGCGTTGGCTAAAGGATTTGTCCCATTGGCTGCATTCATAGGGCCTTTCTCCAGTGTGTACTCTCTGGAGTTGAATGAGAGCAGACTTACCTAAAGGATTTCCCACATGGGCCACACTCCTTGCCTAAAGGATTTCCCACATGGGCCACACTCATTGCCTAAAGGATTTCCCACATCTGGGCCGTGTGAACACCACAGAGCTGAGGCTGGCTCTCCCCAGCGGGCTTCCCCGCCCCCCACGCTCATGGGGCCTTTCTCCAGTTGGAACTCTGACGTTTATTGAAGTTGCTCTTCCGCTAAAGTACTTCCTACACTGGCCACCCTCGGAGGCCGTGCCTCCCGTGACTCCTCTGCAGTTCACGAGGCTGCAGCTTTGGGGCAGCTTCCCGCGTCAGCGCACGCTCAGCCTTACTGCAGTGTGGCCCCTGCTGTGCCCATCAGGTCTGCATTTGGGCCCAGAGTTTCTCCCACGTGCACGGCACTCGTGAGGCCTCTCTCCAGCGTGACCTCAGAGGTGAACAGGCGAGGACTCAGAGCAGGAGCCTCCCTGTGGGCTGGACTGTGGGTGCTATGACTTTGGGGACAGGAGGAAAGGCTACAGTTCCCGCGAGGATTGTCTCGCTTTGTCTGGGCTAACTCACGTTCCTGAGACGACAGGGATGCAGTGTGCTGGGGTGTCCAGATGGAATTGAAACTCCAGCGGTGATTACATTTTTGAAGTTTGGCCACTGGTACCTAGTAGGGGGCGTGTAGGAGGCAGCCGATCAATGATTTTCATCATTCATGTTTCTATCTCTTCCTCTCCCTTCCTCTCTCAAATCAAAAAAATTAAAATATGTGTTTAAAAAAATACTCCAAGGGTAACAACAAAAATCCTAAATCCAAAGTGTGAGTAACAGTAATCTGGGCTCATGGTCTGCTTGTCTCAATCACTCCTCTGCTCCCCATTCCTCATGTCCCCACTTCCCACGGGAGCCCTGCCCTCTGGACAGATCACCCCTCTCCCGGAACCCCAGCCCCTTCTCCCGCAGCTACATGTGTGAGGCCCACCATGCCACCGGGTCCTCGAGCCTCACTGCCCCTGCCTACTGCTTCACCATGAGGACCGCGATCTGCCTCCTGACGCTCAGCCACACCCGGAGCAGATGCTGGCACCACCTTCCGGGCGTGTCTATGCTGAATTCCTCTGGTTCTAGACCTGTGTGACCACCAACTAACTGTTTTCCGCAAACTCTGCTTTGAAACATCTCACTCGCTTGAGCTAGCCAGAAACAGAACTGACAGCTCCATGGAAATTAAGCTATTTCTGGTTCAGGGAGTTTCCATCTTTCCAGCTGCTAACCCCTCTAACTCCTATCGTTCTCTCTCTCCCCTAAAATCTTAAATTCTGGGTGGCCCTAATTTATAATAATTCTTTATATATATATATATATATATCTTATTGAT